CCACTTAGTGACTAAATATTATAAAAAAAATAAAGCTGACAATAAGCAAAGACAAATGCTTATAAAATGAAATTAAATTATCTTGAACACATGACAATATCTCTCATAAATAGGTTATATTAAAGGCAAATCTAATATACATCTCTCGTTTAATTAGCTTAATTTTAAAATGCCAGTTATATTCTTCTCAAACTCTCAATTCATGACTTTAACTGTCTTAATATAATACGTGAATTGAGTTTACCGACTCGAGCATTATGCACAGAGTGAAATGTCAATACCATCACGTCCGAAGTCGATTTCAATTAAGTCAAATGGAATTGCAATGCTCATCTATCTTATATATTTAGTATGTGCACCATTCAGTAATTATTATTACAGAACATAAGGATTAATAATGCAATAATAATGAAAATAATAATGGATTGATTACTTTCATTATTTCTTAGATAACTTTCATAGATGTTATAAAGGGTAATTATTTATGGTAATTTAGGATCTAATTTAAAAAATATTTTTTAATTTATTCAATAATTGTATTGTTATTTTATTAATTGTCACAGTTTAAATTTATTTAAATTTAGTTACATGAGTTTCCAAGCACAGGTAAAACAACCTGATAGATAAGTTAGTAGTAGCAAATGATAGTAGATACTAAATAATCCATTGATGGAAGTAAAGTACTACTATCAAAATCCTAAAAATGAGTAGCTTTAGAAAATGAGATATATAATATATAAGAATATTATATACACTAACTTAATATAACTAAATAAAATTTACAGATTGAAAAAAAATTTTTAAAAAAGCAAAATTTCATATTGCAATATAAATCATCAACAAATAATTTGAAATTATCGTATTTCAATTTTCCGCACATTTTGACTAATTTATAATTGTTCTAAAATTAACACCACTCTGCATACAATTTTTATACAGTTATATAATTTCATTATGAGGAATATATTTAAAAGCTTTGAATCCAATAAATAAAACTAATACATGTTAATTTTTAAGATTTTAAAACTTGTTATATTTCTTGAAAGACCATAAACCATAAAAATTATATAAAAATTGTAGTAATATAAAAAAAAAGAGTTTTTTGAGAAAAAAATATGATTTATAAATTTATTTAAAATTTAAAAATTTTCTAATATTTAATCAATTAAAGTAAGATCATATACTTAAAATTATTCGAAATAATTCCAAACGAACTTCTTTTTTATAATATTCTGTAAAATTTACAATGAGAAATTACTTTTATAGTTTATATTCTAATACAAAGAAAATATTTTTACAATATTAATAGATAAAAAAATCAGTTATTTTAATGTAATTTGCAAATAAAATGAATTTAAAAATATATTCATAATCTAATGATTTTTGTAGCAAAAAATCTTTGAGCATTGACAACTTAAAAGAAATGATATATTATGTCTATATTTGTATTACAGCAGTTACGTTACATTCAATGTATACTAACGTATTACAGTATTGACATTTGTGATAACTTTGATATACAAAAACTGAAAATACTTCCGCAATATATACAAATGTCTTTCTACTTTACAAAGGTTGATGATATATTTAGCGTATAAATCTATTTCAAAATACATTTTTATCTCAACATAATTTGAAGTCAAAATATTTTATATAAAAAAAATATATAATACCATTTGAAATATATTTCTTTTTTTTATTTCTCTTTATAAACACTTTAAAAATAATAGGATTTTATAGTTTAATAACATTTTAAGAATGATATTCTCGAAAAAGCGATGAAAATTAAATACTTTGGTTAAGTACGATAAAATTTTGTAAAGTACTGACACGTAAAATAATTGGTCTAGAAAACTTTTTAAATTATAGGATTTCATTAAACAAATAAAAATAGTCAGTACGCTCATGAAATGTTTATTAATCTATCAAAATTTCTGAATGTTCATTCTTTCTAGCCTACTAATAATAACATTTATACTATAAATATAATTTTGGTTATTAATTGTTGATAATATCTATAAAACTCAAAATTTATTCATAATAAAATATTTGTAATTATTTATTTTTAAAAAATCCAAATTTTTTCCCGAACGAAATCATGGTTAATGAATACTAAATTATTTATTTATTAAATATAAAATAAATAAATAAATTAACATTAATATTACTACTAAAAATTACACATCTACATAATGAAACAAATAAAATATAAGATAAAACAACAATAGATAATAAAATGTGTCTAAAGTTATTTAAGTTCGCTTTAGTAATTGAATTGTACAACTAAAAGTGAACTACAAGGATCTCAATTTATAAGAAAACTAAATAAGAAATTGGTGTTAAATAAAAAAAGAACAAATTCGAAATACGTGGTGGTGACACTCTCAAAATTTTTTTTATAAGAAATATGGTAAAACAGGTATTTATATATATATTATTAAAAACAAGCTTAGGATATCTTAAGATTCTCAAATGTAATAAGTTACTATAAGATTATATCACGAAAATAGAGTTCGTATTTTTCTTTTCTAAAGTAACGATGATACTTAAATGCGTTTCATTAAATTTTTTATATCATATAATTAATTATATTATTTTAATATTGTTTTAACATAATAAGAAAAAATTAATAATTATTATTAAAGTTATTCACATTTTATAGCCTATTATTATAAGTAATATATCAATGTAAAATTAAAATTTATAATGTAATATAAAATGCTATTGAAAATAAAATAATGTAATGTAATAAATAAATAGTAAAGAATATTTTTAAGAATATGTTACAAAATTATTTAATAGACCTGATATTACTACTATCTTTACTATTTGGACTAATATTTGGAATATTAGACATTATTAATTTACATGATACATCTGAATGTTTATATTTAAGTTAACAATTTAATAAACCAATTCCGAATATCATTTAATAACACTATATATTATTTTATTATTCTTATAATAATTAAAACATCATTCATACATTTTCCTATATTATAAGAATGTATTATTATTTTATAAAAAATAAATTCTGATTTATAATTTATATCTTACAATATTTAAATTATAATATATATAATACTTAAATAAGTGTCGATCTTCTAATAATCCTTTAATATGCTTAGAATGTACATTAATTATTAAAATAATAATTTAATACAAAGTACAATTGGCTTTTTAGATTTGTCATAACATTTTAAAATAATTAAATATTATCGTAAACAAATACATATCATTGTACTGATCATTGTGCAATTTTATAAAATGTAAATTATTCAAGATACGTATATTTATCGAAAATTAATTTAAATATGTATGTATGTACATGAAAATTCTATTGACTAATCACTGAAAAATGCAGAAATATACTGAAAAAATATGTCTTCACAAACACAGAAAAAATTATTGAAAATAAAAAAAGGGATTTTAAATACATCAATATCATTCATTAACTAATAAATATATTTTGAAATAAACTCGACTGTAAAACTATTTTGGTAAATCATTTTAAAGTTTCAAAAATAGTCTGTATTCACTATAAAAACTTTTATTGAAAGTTTATTTAGTTAATTATATTTTAGTTTCATTAAACTAAGAAGCTCTATGATAATACATTTCAAAATGAAAAGTTTCCATATGAAAATGCTAAACAGTATGATAGCTTATAATAAACTTTCGTAATTTAAGATATAATTGTTTCTTCGAGATAAACTGAATTTATTACATTATTAATAATAAAATATGTTCAATAAAAAGTACTTACTTTTAATAAAAGCAAAAAAATAATAATTAGCTAAATTTTAACACTTTAACACAATTGTATTTACTTAATTCCTCATAAAATAGACAAACTATTTAATACAATTAACATGTTAAAACTTATTTAAAAGACACATCTGGCAGATACTTTAAATTCTTGAAATAAAAATACAGAAATAAATTGAATTATTTTTCAAAATATTGATATTTACATAGAGGACAACGTAGAGATTTAATTAATATAATCTGAAAATAATAATGAACATTAAAATTATACTAGTTTCTGTTCATAAAATTGACGAACATATATTTATTTAGGTAAAATTATTTTGAAATTATTTAATTAAAATATATTTTGAATTTAATCCTTATTTGTACATTATTAAATTGTTTTACTTTTATTGTAACAGGCTTTATGATTTTTATTATTTTAGTTTGGACTAATTCTATCTAAAATTGCCTAATTTTTGTTTAAATTTTATAGAATTCAGTATATATATATATATATATATATATATATATATATATATATTACAGTACTGGAATTCTTAACTTTATAAGAGCTTAAAATATTTGGGTTATTCTTGATATGATATATATGTATATATAAAGTATTATATATATACATAAAGTATATCATTATTTAAAACTTGTAATACTACCAATCTTCCCAAAGGGTAATTAAAAATTTGATTATCTTAAAAAGAACGCAGAATGCTAAATATTATTCATTCATAAATTTATATGTTATCAATATAATAAAAACTCTTATAATTAAAAAAATAATTGCTATATTCTGAATGTATTGTATTAATTGTCCGCACATACTATAATGTTGATTTATTTTTCAATTTTTTTATTCACTTTCTAAAGTTGAATAATGCATGGTAATTATTGTTGAAGAAACATTTCCGTATTAAATAGTAAATATATCAATGCGAGCCATATATTCAATACATCTTAGATAAATTTTATTTTCGATTACTCATTTGCTTGGAAATATTAAGATTGACTTCACACTTTATCATAGTAAAAACTTCGAAACTCAATGTTGTGAATATTTTAAAAGCACTATATATTTTTTAGGACCTTTTTTTCATTCCGCTTCCATGGAATTACAAATTTACATTTACTATGCAAATTACAATAATGATAAAGTCACCTTTCAACATAATATAGTGCAATAAAATCAGTTTAATACTGAAAAGAGCAAAAAAAGTAATATGCATTTGTTTTAGATACTACGCTATTTCCAAGCCACTAGACTATGGTGTCAAGAGGACGACCCGTCGCATGATCTTTTACGTGGCCTTCGTATGGCTGGGAGCTGCTTGTATAAGTTTGCCCCCACTTTTCGTTCTCGGAAATGAGTACACACAGTCTGATACGGGGGTGTCACACTGCTCAGTCTGCCAGAACTCGGGATATCAAATTTATGCAACCCTCGGTAGCTTTTACATCCCGCTCTTCGTTATGATTTTGGTAGGTATCACATTACTTATACAATAATACGAAAATTAATTAGTATAAAATTGTAACTAATTTTCGTCCTGATCTATGCAATACATGTTTTTGACCAAAGAGACAATTGTCACATATTTTATAAATCACATTCCAAATAGAATAAGTTTAGTAGAAGTATCATTGTCTTTATATTTTTAAAATTGTATTTCAGCATAGGAAATTTTAAGTGCAAATATCTTTTAAAAATACTAAAATTATAATAGCATTTCCATTTTAATTTCTCTTGAATATCTAATTTTATGTAATATTGTATATTTATATATTATATGTAATAAATTTATTTTGCATATAATTTATATATTTATTTAGTTTAACATTGGATAATTATTTTTTCATGTATTAACTATAATTTAAAATATATTACCATATTGGTAAAAGTATTTCAATAATTGTATAACGGTGTTAGCCATTAATTAATATACAGCAAAAATAGGGAAAAGGAATCATATATAAGTTTTTAACGAAAATTTTAGGGTATACTAAAAATAATTATATTAAGAACATAATTTTAAATATTTGTGTTAATTGTTCTAAATAAAGCAAAAATTTGGTTGATAATGAAATATTTTAAATATTTATTAATTGTTGCAAATGTTTTTAATCCCGTTACATTAAAAAATACTTTCGGGACGATTAATATAATTGAACATTAAATAAAAATTGGTAACAATTATCGAGAAAATAATGGTTAAAGTAAAAAATAACGTGTAATAATAAAAAGTAAATTAGAAAATGTTTTGATAATAAAATGTGTTTATTATTGGAGCCCAGCAGGTATTTATAAACCATAAAAATATAACAATTATAAATCTACAAATATCCCTCTTAAATCATTAACATTATTTAGTACAAAGTAAATTATAAATTATAAATTTATTTTATATCTTGATTTATAAAAAAAAAAGAAGTTTAACTAACGAACATCAATGTCTTTACTCTATAAATAATACTACCATTCGTCCATACTTATCAAACATTATCAGTGATTTTTATGAATTTCCGTAATGCAATAGAAAATGATGAATAACCAATGATGTAATAGTTGTCTTTAAATGGACCATACAAATCTGGTACTATCGTTACTTTTATATACGTGCACATGTTACGAATTTTTTATTAAAAAATCAATACGCATTTACTTTTTTAAATTTCAACTAATAATTACTAATACCTACAATAATAATAAATAATACCTACAATTAATAAGTAAATTATGACATTGCTATTTATCATATCTTATAGCTTACATTAATTAATTTAAACATACATTTTAATTGTTATTATTCATTGTATATGTACATAGTGTAATTATTATTGGCTGTATGTATACCTAACAAAAAGAATATATGATTATAAATTTACATTAAAGGATTATTTATAATAATTTATAAAAATAGAATAAATACAATAATTTATATGAAATTCCCAAAAATATTTTATATTTAATATATTATAAAATAACTGTTACAATATTTTAGCATTATTAATAAAGAAAATTTATAATACAATTAAAATTGCAACTTTACAAATTAAAATGGAAATAAATTAGGACTCAAAATAAAAAAATGCAAATATTAGAAATTAATTCCCTTAAAATATATATGATTTATACTTCATGTAATACTAAAATTGCAATTAAACCATTCAAATATAGTCTTAAATCGTATATACTGAAAATATAAAATAAAAAATATCATATACGGCCTTTGACTATAGATGCTTTAAAATAAACTTTAAGTAAGAGTATGAAGACAATATCAAACTAAAAATTAAAAATTTCTGTAATAAACAATTACTCTTTAAGTATTAGTACTAAATAAATTAGTATCGCTTTGTGAATCTAAAGGTATATATTTATAATCGAAAAATATATGATTAATACATAAGATTTGTAATTCTTTTGAATTTTTCGCTTTTATTTTCTTTTGTGTATTTTACCTCGTGCATTCTTATTCATTTTTCAATTTAATGAAAAATTCTGTAATAATTCAGAAAAAATATTAACTGATCACTTTATTAATTTTCTCAAAATTTGAATTACGTATGATAAATTAAGTTTACCAGATAATTAATATCTAATTAATTGTTTATATCATTTTTATTCGAAATCTTAGTAAATATTAAAGATTTAATATTTTAAAAATAGTCCAACAATATAATATTTGTTCAACATATAGATGTACACATATTAGAAATGATTGAGTGAATATATTCTCATCCTCCTTAGAATACAAACAATAATAAATCGATGGCATGATGTGCAGTCTACGTAAACGATCCTAATCCGTTTTGGATAATCGTTTTGTGATCTGTTAATTCCACATTTCTATATATATGTATCCAATGATTATTCATATATCATTAATTTCTAATTATTCATAATGTTCTGATAATATCCATATAAAATAGGAAAAATCCATAACATATTAACGTAAAAGTATACCATGTACAATTAAATATTTACTAATAACAATAATTTAAACCTATACGTAATTATATTAAATTATAATACTACCAAAAGAAAAATATTTCGTTAGTTAAAAGAAATAATTGATTTTTAACTATGAATATTCGCTTTGATATAAAAAAAAATATTAAACTCAATATCAATTACAACGAAAAAGTGTGGAAAAATAAATTTATGATATTTTGAAATATAAATATTAAATCAAATGAAATTGTAAATTATATATATCTATGCAATGAGATTTATGGCTCTATATTAATAAGCAATTAATATTAGTAAGTGAATAGATATGTGTCTATAAAAGATCTTCAGATATGAAAAACACAATAGTCAATAAGATTAAGCAAATTTTATTTTAACAAATTGTTGATAAATTTATTCATTTCTTGCATTATTTATGTCATTACTAATTAGGCTCTTCAGTCTTATTAAATGAACTATGTATATAATGAATTTATTTATATAACGTTTATTTCATAAGCAAAACAAATTACCAGTAAATAGTATAAAGTAATTGAAATTATTGTGGTGGAAAAATAAAAGTAAAATAAAGACTAATTTTAGGAAATATTACGTAGTCTTTTCGTAGAATTAATATAAATACATAAATAATAAAGACCGAGTCCTTAACATAATAAAACATGTTCCATTTTATATTAAAATTACGGGATACAGATATAATTGATACACAGCCAAGTTTATATATAATAAATATAAAATAAAAGTATGAAAAATCTTAATGATAAATAGCGACTGAAAATAAATAAATAGTCAAGGCCAAAAGCTATTGGCTTTTATATTATTGACAAAGTTTACGTCGGTGTATAACTAACGTCTCCATACAGAAGTATGGATAATTGTTATATAATATAAATAATCGTACTGCTTAAAAAGTAGTTTATTATTGAATATTAGATTTCGGCACTCGTGTAATTGGATGCCGTGTGATCAGTTTTTGGCAATGACAATACAAATAATTATAACAGAGCTGAAACCGAATAAAGGATTTCAAACTAGAGACAAATCCTAATAAATTTACTGTGGTTTCAGTTGAGTAGAATGCGTATACCTACACTCACCATAAATATTATAAATGACTAAAACATTTTATTTTGATCATACATTTCCCTCTATTTCTCTACAATTTTCATTATTAGTCTCTACTAACTGTTAATTAAAAATTTGATGGTTTAATATAAAAATTATCAGTATATTTTAGGTATCTAATGCCGTATAGTAAAAACTGTACAATATACGAACTTAATTATGTAAGGATAAGATAAGACTTTTAATATTTATATATCATATTCGTATTTTATTATAGATAAAATAAACTTATAAGTCACATTTATCAGTTTAAAATAAAATAACCAATATAATGTTTACATCAAAAGATAGATTAAATTTTTCTGTGAATTATAAATCATTATAAATTTGGTACGAACACATAACTAATAAAAAATATTGAAACCTTAATAATTCATCGTTTCAAATATTATATCATGTGTTTAAATAAAGACATTTATAATGAATTGATCCATCATATTTTTTAAATGTATAATTTATCAAATTAAATCATTAATTTTCATTATTACATGAGCACATATCGTAACCAATTATTATGAAATTCCTTTAATAAATAAATTTTAATTATAAATAGTTTTAATTTTATAATTAAATTTGTTTATAGTTTTGACAGATTTATATACTTAATTGCTATATTGTTTGCATCTAAAGTGCACTGCGGAACAGCTTTAAAATTAATTAACGTAGTCGATCAATTATTTCGGGCAACCAAATATTGTTAACAAAAGAATACTGTTGACATTTATATTTTACTAAATATTACTAAATAAGTAATAAATATTAAATATAACTAAAAACTTTAAAATATGATCTTATAATAACGTATTAGAAAAATTTAATGTAAAAATTTGAATTAATGACTCCTAAATTTCTTAAACTTTCTTAATCTTTATAGGTTTATTATAAGATTTTCTGCGCTGCTCGTAAGATTGTATTAGAGGAGAAACGTGCCCAGAGTCATCTCGAAGCGTATTGTCACTTGGACATTGAGCAACAGCTTCCAGCACCTATTCTTCACCAGAAGGCCAATTCTGATATGCAAACTACTCGAGGAACTTCGCCCATCGAGCATCACCGAAGCTCCAGTGCGTCAACAACGGTAAGCTTCGCTGAAATTTCAACTGAAATAATAAGATAGAAACAGATAATGTAATCTTCAATCTATTTGAACCTGTTAGGAACCTTAAGATTTGTTTCAGTTCTATAAGCATATGTCTACTATTGTTTACAATGTTATTTGCCTCTAAAAAGAAATTGCTTATAAGTACTGGCGGTTTAATCAATTTACTTTTGAATTAAATTTTTTTAAATAGTAATAGTTAAATAGAAAAAATTAAAAATAATGGATAGAAATAAAAAAAAACTTATTATTAATAATAATAAAGCAATCCTTTTTCAGTTCTAGAATTTTATAAATTTGAATTTAATAAAAAGTTGGGCTAATTGGGCAAAAACGTTTTAAATTAAAAATAAATATTTTTAATAGTATAGCTGTATATTAGAAAAAAATATGTAATAACACGAACAGTTATCTAATAATTTAACACGTATTCATATGCATTAATGTCAAGAATTGATACACCTGATTCACTCATATATAATCTATTCGTTCAGTTCTTTAGCCCTGAAATTATATCTAACGTTTCAAGTGTTATGCCTTAATTCGCCAGGAAGTTGAGAAATGTAACATTGCAATCTCTCCCACTCCTTTTTCTCTTCTTCATCACATTTATCCTGTTTGCTTTCGCCTTTGTCTGGTCGAAGACACGCAAACACGATTGAGCGTCACAAGCACTCAGCGCTATCACTTTGGAGCCGCTCTTGACAAACACACAGTACACTAGCTTCGGTATGAATATACTAGACAAACGAGGCCACTTCTCTTCTCTCTCCACAGCTTCTATAAGCGTTAGCACGGGATCGTACGTACGGTGCAAGTTCAGCGAGCGCCAAGTGCAAATTCAAGAGCTTATATGGTAGCGTTATATGTGATCGCGTAACATATTATTATTGATTGTATAAAACTTAATTATGGCTAAGTACATAATAAACGAAATTCTTAAAGATGACAGTCTTTAATCACCTAATATATTTAAGTATTTAGTTCACGATTTTGTCCCACTTGTACGGCAAGTAACATAAATCACTCGATTCTTTAACTTGAAATGCTTTTTAATAATAGTATTTATTACTTTTAATTATTGAAATCTTATAATTGTATGCTTTAAAAATTGTAATACTTTAGTCATCCTTCGGTCAAACATTTCTGGTGTTTTATAATCACGCTGAACGATGTATTTAATATGAATTTTCTACCTGCTTATATTTAAATATGTGCCAAGTATACTTTCAACGATTTTATTAAAGTATTTGAATTTTTTTTATTAAAAATTTATAATTTCTGATATAATGAATAATACTGAATAAACCATAAAATTCTTGCCAATTTGAAAAAATAACAAAAAACATAAAATCTGATGTTTACACTTTATACGTTAACAAAATAATAATAAATTATTCGACAAAATTATAGAAATTCGTGGTGAAAATTCAAATTTTGAGAAAATAAAATGAGAAGAAGAAAAACAAATAAATCGAAAACATGCATTGTAAACCTGTCCTCAGTTTTTGAAATAACTTTCATATACACAATTCAGAATTGTTCTTGACATTTTAAGAGTCGTATACCAGTACAGTTAGTTTCTTCATACTTCCCGAGGTTATTGGATTTTGGTGCAGTTATACGAACGAAAAGACTAAGGCTTCGAGAGAGTATCTTCGATGGAAAAAGTTTCATCCGTATTTTCTGCATAAATGCCGATTTCCCTTCCTTTCCTTTCATCGCGTTAAACCTTTCGATCTTTACTTACTTCTCTTATAGACACGTGAACACCACAAACTCTTTATAAAAATCTGCCCACGTTATTTTTCTCATTTTCCACTCTTGCAAAAGACATTTACGACCAATAAAGAATAAAGAGTTTGGCATAAGAAAATCAAAAAAGGAAAGACTTTCAAATTGATGTCATTTTATCGGCACTCTAAAATCGACGGGTAATAAAATTTTTTTATCTTACATACCCACGTACGTTTTGCCAATGATATAAAAGAAATAAGCTGGATGCATTAGTGAACTAATGTTGGTTGAGCGTTTACCTTTACTCAATATCTAATCGATGCGAAATATAATTCTAGTTACGTAAAATTGTTATTTAATAATATTTCACTAATAACATAATAATTATTAAAATTATTATGAATGATATAATTTTGTCAAATGAATAAAATATCTTATCAGAATTCATTAAATAATATCAAATTAAACCATAAATTAAACAATAAAAAATCAATTAAGCAATATAAAAAATCAGAATCAATTAAACAATAAGGTAATAAGAGTTAAGATGATTTGTGCCTTGAATCCACGATAAATAAAGTAAAAATATTCGTATTCTTCTGATTCATATATAAAGTTTTTAAGTATCACACTACGATAAAAAATTATTAGATATAGCGAGAGTATTTTTTCAAAAATAAAAAACATAGAACTATTTGATCAAAATTTTTATAGCTTATACTAGCAGTAATAAAAAAATCATTAAAATGTGTCTGTGTTTGTTTGTGTGCGTTCGTGAGTACGTGCGTGTGTGTTTGTATACTTGTGTGCGTGTGTGTGAGAGGGGGGGGGGCGAGAGTCTGTCAGTGCGAGAGTGTACGTGTGACGCCTTTGAAATAATTATGGAATATATGAATCGTAATATTCATTTTCTATTAATTTTTCTATGGTATCTTGCAATGTATATGTTATAATAAAAAAAAGTAAATATTTGAAAATTGTTTAAGAACTTAAGAAGTACTGGAATAATTCATAAAATCAAATTGTTATGAATGAAAAATTTTAGTTAATCGGATGGGTTGGTTTAGTGGAAGAAGATTTTATTGAATATGCAGTAATAAAAATCATATTCAATGTATGAAATTTCATAAAACATGTTTTCAAGCAATACCACGTGATTATAAATAATATATAAATAGTATATAGATAATAAACTAATAATACCACTCTATTTGTAAACAGCATTTTATTATGTTCATATGTGCCTTTATTATCTACTACAAAAATCAATTCGTTAATTTTGCTATTTTTTTCTTAAATTCTGTTTATAATAACTAATTATTTATTGAATAGAATAAAATATGGAAATTTACCCTATAAATATAAATAATTATTCTTGAATACTATATTTTCATAACTTAAATAGATATTTTTATTGCTAAAATATTCAATATAGAAAAACTTATATTAAATATGAATAATGTTTCATTTGAAAAAAGCAGATCAACTGATAATTTGGTGACTATTATTATTGGTTTTATTATACGTCCATTTTTGTAAATATAGGCTTATTAAAAAATTAATAAAACAATAAATAATAAACAATAAACAATAAACTTAGTAAAATCCTAAAATGCTACTTTTTAAATAAATTCTTCGCCATATTTATGCATAATATATGTAGCCATTCTTGTAACGCAAAAGATTTTCCATACATCACTTTTCTCAAAATAAATAAATATTATATGATCATTCGTAGCAAATACAATTTATAAACTATTTTTAAAATATATTCAGGATAAAATGAAAATTTTTATTAATAAACTCTAATAATATACGTATTCATATTAAACTGAATCATATAATTGATTATTTTATTTCTATAGAATACTATTTTCGTTATTTTAACATATATTATTTATTGAAATATTTTATTTTTTCATATATATGTATATGAATATACATATTCAATTAGAAATATGTTGATGTTTATTGTCAAAAATTTGTCGACTAAATATATTAATAATGATTGTATACAAACAACTATATTAAATTAACGATATAAAATATTTGTAATAGCCGACTTCAATCACGAATCCAAAAAGAATAAAATATTTCGCTTAAGTCAACAGTGGTATTCTGTAAACTCAAAATAATAATAATAATAATAATAATAATAATAATAAACAGCATATATATATATATATATATATATATATATATATATGCATACACATATTTAGATATATTGCTTTAACTTGTAAGCGTTACATAGGAATCAGCAATAGAGAAAAATAAATTTCTCAAGTACAGATTCCGAATGAATTTATGTACGAGTAGCCGTTTGAATTAAAATGTCTACATTATAAGGCCATAAAACTCGAAGTTTCAAGCTTGCAGTCATTCCAATCATTACCTTGAGGGCTTTGTACAGTTGCGATAAGATCTTGCTTATTCAAGTGTGATTCTGCACGGTTACGTTCTCAAGCTCAATAAGTTCTCGTTTTCCCAGCTCTCAATGTATCCCCACTTGAATGCAATAATTATTCATTTCATTTACTAATCGAATCTTAATAACATTTTGTAAGCATTTTTAATTTCGGTAACTAATTTCTTTATGTTTTTATTAATAATAGATAAATGAAATATATGAATAAAAAGTATGGTGAAATAGATGCTTCAGTTGAACGAAAATAGATACGTCTTTTTAATTAGGAAAAGATAAAAGAAAAAATTTTCAATATCAAGATAAACGTTCTTTTTTAATACTTTAAAATGAATTTGTTCTTTAGGACAACAAATTCCTTCTACATTCCTTTTCTTTCAGTTTTAATTAATTTTTTTTCAGTATAAAATAATATTTGTTTTTATTATTATGAAATATATATATGTATATATATATACATATATATTACTATAATAATAACTTGCCCACCTTAAACCTTAATATGCTAAATATATTTTGAAAGACAATGTTTCTAAGGACAAAAGATCTTTACATTGAGCTTGTAAAAATATTATCATCGAGTACTTTAGAATTTTAATACTATTCAAAACGTTTTCTTTCTAACTATAAATACACACTTATTCAACATATAAACGAGAATAGATATATTTTAATATGGAAAAATTATATTTTTCATTTCAATAGTTCGTGATTTTTTAGTTGAAACTTTATATTAATGGTTTCATTTTGATTTCTTATCATCTAATAAATATTCATTTAATTTTCATTATACACTGCATTCAAAATATGTATCAAA